CAACGTCAAAATACGAACATGAGAGAATGTATCTCACCAAGAGATCGGTTATCACTCACTCTACGATTTTTAGCCACCGGTGAAGCTTATAGAAGTTTAGAATATTCTATGAGAATACCAACGTGTACGATTTCTCGTATCATTCCTGAAACAAGCCGTGTAATTTATGAAGTTCTTCGAAAGGATTATTTAAAGGTAAAATATTAGTAACATAATTGATATAAACTTTTAAAATTAATGACGAGAATAAATATTTAACGCTTAATTTTTACAGACACCAAGTACAATTGAAGAGTGGACAGAAATTGCAAATAATTATTTTCAACTTTGGAATGTTCCAAATTGTATTGGCTCTATGGATGGGCGACATATAGAATTCAAAGTTCCACTTACAGACGGATCATTGTATTATAACTATAAGGGTACCAACAGCATTGTTTTATTAGCAATAGTTAACGCTCTTTATCAATTCATATATGTCAATGTTGGCGTTAATGGCAGAGTAAGTGATGGAGGAGTTTATCGTGACAGTGATTTCGCAAAACTATTAAATGATCCACAAAATGTACTTAATATACCAGATGATGCGCCTTTGCCTGGCATGGGTGAATGTATGCCATATATTTTATTAGCTGATAATGCTTTTCCTCTACAAAAACATATATTAAAGCCATACTCATCACGAAATTTGACACATGATGAGCAAATATTTAATTATAGACTGAGTAGAGGAAGGCGAGTTGTTGAAAACAGTTTTGGAATATTAGCAAATAGGTTTCGTGTTCTTTTGTCAACTATGTATTTACCAGTTAATACAGTTCAAATTGTTACTCTCGCATGTTGTGCATTGTATAATTATATCAGTAGCGAAAATGATGCATATTTATATGGAGCAACAGACACTGAAAATGTACAAAATTATGTAATAACATCTGGTGGATGGAGAAATGATAATGCACAACTGCGCAATTTGAACATTATCAATATAAGACCTAATAGAAATGCCATTCATATTCGTGATGAATTTAAACGATATTTTAATACTGTTGGAGCAGTTGAATGGCAAGAGCATATGATTTAGTTCGTTTAAGAATTTATATATACACACATGCGCGCGTGTATTTACGTAAAGTGTATATGTATTAATTATTTAGATATAAATGTAAGATAATTTTGTATACATTGTAAATAAATTCTGCTAATTTACTGTATTAAATATATATATTACAAATATAATTAAAACATTTTTATTTAATTTAACAGAACATGTAGTTATAATATATTGGTTCCTGTGCCCACGCGGTAACGCTTTATATATTTTAATATAATATTCTTTAATATATTATATTATCTTCTATTTTTTTCTGTCTTTCTTACGTAATTCACTTTCCAAATATAAGGTCCAGTGACGCATTCCATCCTGAACATTGTCATCATCATCATTAGATATATTTATTAATGCTTGAGATGCAGTCTTCCAAAAATCTGTTCTCGCACTTGATGTTTCTGGCGAAGCTTCTCTCTTTTTTTTCTTACGTTGTGTACCACTTGATGATGCACTACTTAAAGTGGATATTATCGAGGAAGTAGGTGAGCGCCGATTTTTGCAGTCGGCTGTAATAGCTATAAATAAAAAAATAAATTTTTAAAGTAATTACAAATGTTATTTATTTCTAAAAAAATTAATGTAACTTATATTACCATTATTGTTTTTGACAAGGATCACACATATCTACATATTGTAAATCTTCCACTGATGAATCATTAATTATATCCAGCACGTTTGTACTGTCTGATATATTGGGTTGACTTTTATGCTGTGAATTAATTATACATAAGATTTTAAAAATTGTAATTTAATATAATAATTCTTCAAATGACAATATAATATTTTTATAATTACTATCAGTGAAGATTCTCCTGATCTAGCTGCTATATGAACACTCAGAAATGACATATCGTCAAATAACCACCAGGTGGGTTTGTACACTTCATCAGCCGAAGCCCCGCTCACTTTTGACTGACGAATTTTATTAATTTGCTCTAAGTACTGAGATCGCAAATTATATATATATATTAATTTTTTCTTTACTGCATCAACTGTTATTGGCAGTTTTGTTATTTCTTCGTAATTGCGACATATTGTTCGCAGTGCTTGATCACGTTTATTTCGATTATGATATTCAGCAGACTTGGTAACATACAGACAAGGATGTTGCTCGTATAACATTACTAATGTTTTGACGTTCTCTCTGTTATCTATTGTTACCTATAAACAAAAATATGATTATTCTTTCAAATGTCTAATTTTAAGAAAACACAAAGTAAAAACAATAATATATATATAATTGTTATAATTTCCCACCCAACAATGTAACTGTAATGTACAAAATTGTTATATTAGTTATGTTATTGAGGGAGAAATTATTAACTAAAGTAGTTATAGTATTATTTATTTGTAATACTTTTATTGTTTGTGTTTGCTAGGATATGATTATTGAATACATGTAAATTGCAATACATTATGTCAAAGATTAAAAATTTCTTTTTTTCATTATTTTAAAATTCAATTTATAATAAATATTCTTTACTGATGCATCTTCATACAAAGTAAAATATATAATAAATTCAATTTATTATTCCATATTGACAGAATTTTATAATTTTTAATTATATTATTATTTAGTAATAGACATTTATATTATTTGTTACTTACTTTTACTAAAATAAATATTTTCTATATGCATAAATTTAGTAACTGTCACCAAAAAATGGGACGCGATGCATTTTTTCGTATGACTTTTATATTCGAGATTTTCATCCAAGTTGACTGTTTCCACGGTCCGAGTTCTAGTAACTTTTTCTCGAAACTAGAATTCGGACCGAGTTCTCGGATCGTGGACACAGGCCTTTAGTTACACATGTACGCCATATTATACTAAGCTATACTATATACGCTATAATTCTCCATCTAGTAGGAACCAAAATGGCGGATAAGAATACCTACATATCTAGTGCTTTAGTTATAGAACTCAATGGGTGTCATGGCCGAAACCAGAAATCCTACCAGCCTCAGTTTTTCCATACGTCAAAGCCTAAAGTTAGCGATCTAGTACTAGTATAGACATCTGTGCTCATATGTATATGTACATCTGCTTTAATTGCATAGTAAGTATAATTTACAAAAATAAATTTTGAACTTCACAATTTTCATAAAATAATATAGTACATAAAATATAATGGTACATAAAATAATATAGTATATAAAATATAATGGTACATAAAATATAATAGTACATAAAATAATATAGTACATAAAATATAACCTCAATTACTTTTTTATTTTGTAAAAAACTAAATTAAATATTTTAATTTTTTAGATGAATAACGATAATAGATTAATTTACAACAATTTGCATGTTTTTACCTATTATTATTTACATACATGCAGTGTTTCAACTTTTACAACTTGAAATTTCCCTAAGTTTGTCAAATAATTGGCAGCCATGAATTGAACACAAATCACCTCGATTCACCTCAGTTGTTTTCCAGCAAAGGACACAAGTTGACACAAATCGACATAAGTATCACTCTGTCTTTGTTCGATATTCAATGAGCAACAGAGAGAATAATACTTTTGTGTCGCTTGTGTCTCTTGGTGGAAAATTACCCAAGTCAAGTTGGCTTTAGCAGCCCATATTTTCCATATTTTCATAGTCAAAGAGCCCTTATTTTTCACGTTTCCGCTTCTAGGGAAAATTACATGATCGATATATTTAGTAAAAATTTTTATATCTTTGTACTTATTTTTTAGATTTTTTCTGCTTCTGATTCATGTACGGAGACAAATTTCTTATTAAATAACGCACTAATAACTTTGTTAACCTAAATAATTTAATAAATTTTTTTGTTGCTTATATAAAATGCATGTCAAGTGCTTCATGCCTTCACGATGATTTCTTGTTATAACGAAATATGCTCAACTTCGGCCTTGCAATCGCGAAATTATTAATAATAATATTTACTTCTGTTTTTGTATTTCTTTATCTCGCATGTAAAAACTCACTCATAAAAGTCCTCGTAATCAAGAAACGAATATTGAATCACTCGCAGCATTGCGTACGTTAATTTGTGCATATGTTTAATGCGTGCACTTAAATAAAGTACGGGAATAGGTTTTCAAATGTAAGCGCTCGTAACTTTGAGTTTGCGCATTCGTTTTTCTCACAAGCGAGTTAGAGAATCGAGCCCCAGTTGTCGAAATCGCAAGAATTCGCGTCGTAACGGGCCGTGACCGTGACATATCTATGACGAAGTAAACCCATCGGTTCGCCGAAAAGATTGTATACAAACATGTTCTGTGTTAACGAATAACGATCGAGGACACGTTGGAATGCTCTGATGAACCGCTAGTCCATAACTTTTATTCGACGCATGCGAGAAGCTCGTACGCGACGACGCGTACAGCTCTCCTGCGGCTCCGATTTCGTTGACAATAACTCCAGCGTGAGGAGAAAATAACGTCGATTCGCAAATGATAATTGTACGATTGTCCTGTATGAAGTATGAAGATGGCTTCCTTGGAGATTGATGATTTATTGGCTGGGCCACTAGTCACTTGGGTGAGTCTCCTCAAAAAAATTTTGAACATTTTAAATGAGTGTCCTGCATGAAAACAAAGGGAAGAGTTTATTCGACATATATTCACAAATACATAGTTTTTAAAATGTAGCCTGATGGTGTATTAGTGACATATTTCTGTTGCAATAGTTTACTAGCTGTCTAGAAGATCCCAATGTATTGGCAAATTATGAAGATTTGGTAGATGGTGTCTTACTGCATAGTGTCTTCCTGCAAATGTAAGTTTTTTTCAGTACAAAATAAAAAGATTGATTTTATAGTTTGCAATGCATAAATACAAATCAAAATAGCATGTAAATTAACAAATTTTCTTGTTGATATTTGCAGCAATCCGGAACCACTACATGATGAAGTAGTGCCTTCTAATGGCAATCCTGTTATACGTACGAAAAACTTAAGGACTATAGTACAAAATATGAAGCAGTTTTATGAAGAGGAGTTGGATCATTTGCTTTTAAGATTACCTGACACTACAAATTTAGGAAAGGAACCAGAATTGTACATACCAGATATGAAATTGTTGCTGCTGCTACTTCTCGGATGTGCCGTCCAATGTCCAAATAAGGAAAAATTTATTACTAAGATAAAAACGCTACACGTTGATACGCAGCTTGCAATAGTAGAGTGTATCAAACAGGTGCTATATTTATTTGACTATTTATCAATAATAAAGTATTATTGATAAAATTACATGTACAAATTTGAATGATTTATCTAGGTTACGGATCATCAAGATATAGTCATTACACAAGATGCTATGGAAAACGCAAACATGGGTTATCTGTTTGTTCAAATCAAAAAATGGATCCAAGAGTTGGATTTATATCGAGAGGTATATTGTTGCATTTTGTAATTGCTTGTAGCTGATAATTTGTTTTCTTCAGGTTTTTGAAAGTGTTTAATTATTTGTACAATATCGTATTATATGTAAAAACAGAAATGGAGAGATGCGACTTTGGATGATAGTGTTGAACGAAACGATTCCTCGATTAGTGCTGAATCTGAGGAACTAAGTAAGGTACAACAATCTCATCCTGTCAAAGCAGAAAGGGAAGATAATCATCATTATGCAGTTGAATTGGCTGACTGGAAATCTAAAGTTCGAAAACAACGTCAAGAATTGTGAGTTTTACTGATATGTTTTAATTCTTCTTTTTCCATCTCCAATTCTAACTTCTTTTATGATAATTGCGACTTACATTGTGATAATTATACAGGGAGGAAAAAACGGAAGCTTTACTTGAATGTAAGGAAGAACTTGAGCATAATAAAACATTGCTTGTCAAGCTGAAGCAAGATGTAATGTACATTATTATAGTGATTATGGAGATATAGTGATTAATTCACATTACAGTAAATTTATGGACTGTATGATTGCAGAATCAAGAATTAATGCACGAAGCTCGTACTGCTAAATCATACAGAGATGAGTTAGACGCTGTGATCGAGAGAGCAGATAGAGCGGATCGTTTAGAAATAGAGGTAACGCGATATAGGGAGAAACTCACAGATATTGAATTTTACAAAACTCGGATAGAAGAGTTACGCGAAGATAACAGGTAAGATATTTATTTGACACTTTAGTGATTTGATATATTAAATAATTACTACTAAAATGTTTATCTTTCATTTTAGAGTTTTAATGGAGACCAGAGAAATGCTTGAAGAGCAGCTAAGCTCATCAAGAAGCAGAGCAGACAAAGTTCTGGAGCTCGAATCTGAAATCATCAAGCATAAGCAGTTACTTAACGATATGGCGCTGGTGAGAATTAAAAAAATTTTATTAGAAACTTTTTTTATAAATCTAGCGATAGAGAATTTAATAGCAAATTGAAAATTATTTGTAGGAACGTGCCGCAGACAAAGAAAAATATCAAGAGCTTGTAGAGGAAAATACACAACTGCATCAATTAACGAAAGCTGCAGCTAGTGAGGCTGCGTTAGCTGGATCAAGTGATTCCGAAGAACCAGGTAATTTTTCCAATTTAATTAACATAAAAAGAATTTCTTACTATGTAACAAAACACTTTTTTTTATTAAACTAAATTTAACTCATTTCTTTAGTGCACAATGACAACAGACTGTCCGAACAATTAACAAGCAACGCTCAGGCTCGAGCATTGAAATTAGAATTAGAAAATCGCCGTTTAAACACTTTAATTGATTCACTAAAGGAGAGTTCGTTCCATGAAAATTCATCTCGCGTTCTGGAGTTGGAAAAGGAGAAAAAGAAGCTTTCATTGAAAATTGAATCATTAAACGACAATAAAGAAAGACTTACGCAACAGAACTCAGATTTGGAATTAGTATGCAAACAAGCATTGGAAGAAAATAAGAAACTTCAGAACACTCTTAAAAATCAACGAACTTCCTTCGAGAAACAGCAACAAGAAGTCCAAGTATGTTAGAATAAATCGTATTTTTTAATGTTTTGTTTCAGTATTGATCCAGAACTAACTTTATTATTTTTGTTTTTGCCATTTTTAGACTCACCATGCGAAAATGATGGAATTGGAAAAGAATTACGATACTGCAGTGAAAGAGAAGCAACGTGTTCAATTATTACTGGAGAGCGTACAACGACGTGCCGATGATTTAGAACGCACTCTGGAAACGACAAATCAAAAAGTTGAGGAATTAAAACTCATTGAAAACAATGTTAATGATATCAACTCCAAGTGCCTTGATTTTGAAGTGAGGTTAACGGTGACAGAAAAAGAGAAAGACTCTGCTCAACGCGATATTCACAAGTACAGAGAAATGATTGAGGTATTTGAATGAATTATTAATTGTTAATATGGATATTATAATGAACGTATAAGTAATGCGTGCATAATATTTTAGGAAAAAGACGTAGCTTTAGACAAGTCGACGAACACGATTGAGGTTTTGGAGAGGAAAGTAGGACAACTTGAACAGGAATTACAGGATTGTGTTATGCAAATATCAAGGTAGGTTCAAAAAAATTTGTATGCAATAGAGTGTTACACTAATTTAGCTGTGTGCTGGCATTAGGTCTGTTTTTTTTAGCTGAATTGGTTGCACTAGTTCAGAGTTTATCTTTTTCCTCCACATTGGAAGGAGAAAGATAAACTCTGAACTAGTGCAGCCAGTTCAGCTATAAAAAACAGACCTCTATATTGTTGCGCTGTGGTTCTTTTTGGCGGTAATTTTAAAATATTAGATACAATATATCCTAATCAATCTAACCTGCCTATTAAATCTTTTTTTCTCTTTAATAGCTCCTCGTCTTTTGATTAATCAATTATTAAATGAAAATATGTTTTCATTATCGTGTTCGAATTTTATACCAAGAAGAACCAAAACAAGACCATCTTTGCTTATTTTTCCAACTACAGAACCCCGTAAATTACTTTCATATTTAATAATACAGAATATGTATTATGAAACGGCTGTTTCAGATTGCAAGAAATTGAGCGGTCCAGTAAAGAACTTGATTCGCGAGCTGCGATTGATAGAGAGACTTTGGAAATACTTCAGTCCAACCTCGTCGCTGAGAAACTAAGCAATCAACAGTTGTACGCAGTTCTAGAGAAACTCGGCCTTAGCGATAATGTACTGTTGTCCGAACCTTTAGAGATCATCCTCGAAAAGTATGTATGAATTATGAAAGACTTATTACAGTCTGTAATTGTGCATGTGAATTTATATTGCAGAATTGCCCAAATACCAGAAGTAATAAATCATATTAAAAAATCGTTTGCGTCTGAGAGCAGTGAAAATGCAATGTCTGAAACTTGTTCCGACAAGGAAAGCGGCGATGCCAACAAGACCTTAGAAGCTGTGATAGAACCTTTAAAGGTATTTATATTAGAAAGATGTAAAAATGATTGCTCATATTTTATATATTTTATTGCGCATTTTTAGCAAGAACTGGAACAATTGCAAATCAAAGCATCCATGTCTCAAACAGCGATGGAGCATTTGTTATCTGAAAATGCTAAACTCCAGGTCCACATAACAACATTACAATCGCAGAGCAATTCATTAACCGCACAACACACTGCGTTGCAATTGGCAAATTCACAGCTTGTTGCGGAAAAAGAGGAGGTTTATACTTTTTCTTACATCTTTATATATCGTACTCTATTTTACTTTTCGTATAATATTCTTATCCAGCTAAATTTCATCTGCAATTATTTTACGTATTTAGCTTTTGAAAGAACGCAGTTCACAACAGCACATCTATTCCGCGCTACTTCACGATCAGAATACATTGCAATCGTTGCACGAGCAATTGAATAACGAGTATGAAAATATGCTTCACGAGCGGGACGGTCTTAAATCGAATTTAAGGGACGTGAAGAATGAAAACAGGACTCTGCGTGAAACTGGCGAGCGATTAGAAGCGAGAAATGAAACGTTGCAATCTGAGCGGGAAGCTTTAATTAACAATACAAAAAGTTTAAATAATCTGCGAGGAGAGCATTCTAAATTGAAGGTATTTACTTGTAGACGTAATATTAAAAACGTTTTATTTCGCACATATTATTTATTTCAATCGATAAATTAGTTCGACGATGCTGATTCTAACAACGCCGCGAAATTTTGCAGGACGACTTCAGAAATCTGTACACTGCAAGCGAAAGATTGAAAGCAGAATACAGGAGCCTGCAAGATGATTATAGGAAGAACAAAGTCGAGATGAACCGCTTGAGTTTGAAGCAAACCGAGATGCAGGGCGAGCTTAGTGTCAAAGACGAACAGTGCTCGGATTTGAAAGTAGAAGTCAATAGTCTTAATGAACGATGTGATGTACGGTTATGCTTGTACAGTGATATAAGGCGAGTTCATCTTCTATGATATATTAAATGTTGTTTTCTTTTTTTATTCTAGATGCTGCTAGAAATGAACTCTGGATTGGATAATGACAGGCGATCCTTGATGGAGCACATAAGTCTGCTGTTTACACAATACCACGAACTTTTAACACACTCGCTTCAAGACAAGGAGCACTATCACATGGAGGAGAAATTGTTCGCGTTAGTATAATGATTAAATTATACCACAGACGTTAACAATTCATGTTTTGATCGCATTAAGCTTAGTTAAGTTTAGAGAACGTTTAAACAATATTTATGTGTTCGTTTGCGCGTTGCAGAGATAAAGTTAATCATCTGTACAGACAAAAAGAAAAGCTGGAAGACAAGATTATGGAGCACTATAGAAAATTGAACAGCTGCACTACTAAAAAGTAAGCTTAAGTCAGTTTTACAGTGCATATATTATCTCTGAATATAAGACACAATTTTCTAATCATTCGAATATGTATGTTTTCGAAACAGAAAAGGTTTTGGAGCGAGTTTAGTTCGCAGAGTAAGGAAAGCTGGATCGGAACTTCTCAATAAGGTGATTATATTCATATGCACGCTATTTATACGTACAGACAGGGCTGGGCAAACACATTTGAAATACAAAATACTAAATACTAACAATTTTAGTATTTATTGCAAAATATCTTCAATTTTTTTATTTAAAATACAAAATTTTTGTATTTTAAATCAAAAATTAAAAATTAAAAGTATTTTGTATTTTATAATTTAAATACCAAGATTATGTTAGCATTGTACATTTTGTATTTCAAATATTTTATTGTATTTGAAATACAATTTGAAATACATTTTGCCCAGCCCTGCGTACAGACTTGTTTTTTCCATATGATGTCATATCTTTTTACCGATTGACTTCACTCTTGGATACATCTCTTACATCTATCTGCTAATAATAGTCTTAAATAATTAAGGCAGTGATAATGAAATATATTTCTTAGAATCGACGTTCGTGGGCCGAGGATTCCAAGCAATCGGACAGTAAAACTTACGAGTCGGATACAGGCGGGAACGATTCCGATGCGAGTACCGACGACTATCGCTTACCCGGTAAATGATTCGTTGGAATACGTGACATTTATCGATCGATCGATTGTAGAGGCATGATATAATCTGTTTCTATGTAATTTCCTTCAGGAACAAGCAGAGTTTTCGGATCAGACGCGCTTGGACACGCCGGGACCAGAAGAACAGTGTACTATACTGATGACTCACCGCCGTCGTCCGCTTCTTTACCCGTAAGGAATACTTGTGCAACGATAAATCGCCCCGAGTACAGTATTTATACTAAAGAAATTTTTTAAATACAGACGGACAGGTTGCTAGGCGAACCCTTCCAGGAGCAAGGGGACGACGTGCACGCCACCCCGATAGAGACGAATTTAAAACCGGAAGGGCAAGTGGAGTCGCGCCCCTTCCTGATCTACAATAAAGTATCAGCAGTCATAAACGAATCCAAAAACGTTAGTAATAGTCCGATGAAGGACGCGACGCAAGACGAAGTACTTACCGAACCCGCCGCCGATAAGGAGCCAAAGACTGGGAGTCCGATATGGTACGAATACGGTTGTGTATAAACGTCCACACTGCCCTTGATGCTTCCATTAGTATGTTTGAAAGAGAAAAAAGATGAGAGAATATATATATGTATTCTCGCAATTTTAAATTCACAGGGAAACATATGTATTTTCTTTTGATTCTTACGTATATGTTTCCCTGTTAATATATCAATTGCACATATTTAATAACGAAAAATCGTGCAACGTGAATATAAATCAACGTGAATATCAATCAAATAGATTGCAAAATCATCAAAAAGTATTACGCATACTAAAGATTTATTTTTTCTAAGTAAAAACGAACTGCCGTAACTTGGACTCATTGTTCTCAAAATTATAAAGTAGACATAAGAATAGAGCGCCTACGAGTTCCTACAAAAACTTGGTGTTAAGATAAGTTAAAGATATGTGTTTTAATCATTTAATTAAAATTTGCGAACTTTTTGTGCGACAAGTTCTTTTTTATCATATATATATTTTTTTAACTCACAAGTCTTTTTAATTGAAATTTTGATAATAAATTTGCTTTTTATTCGTAAGTAAGCGAGATTAGGATATTTAATTCGTTAAAGATCTATGAATTATTATCAAGATTGAATTGCAATATAAGTAACCGCAGTGTGATCGACTTTATTTAACGTTCAATTGGTTCTACTCTTACATATTTGCATGTACGATGCATATTAATCCAAGTTTTTTTGTTTATATGTTATACATGGCTATTTAACATTGCATATCAACTGCTGAAACATAGTTGAAATTCTCAGTTGTACTTTTACCTTTCTGTTCTTTATTGAGAGCAGCATTTATATAGTGGACAAGAGTTTGTGCTGAAAGTAACAACATGTACGTGCATTTATGTTTACAATTACACTAATTACCTCTTTGTCGCTCGGTTCTTATCACGATATAAGCTACTAGATTAGTTTTTACGTTTTGATATTTATATATTTTTATAATAATTGTGTACATGTTATGTGTATAAGTAGTACGTCTTCTGCATCTCAAGATTTTATCTAAATCTAATGCGATTTTGCACACAATACAATTAAGTACTTAACTGGTCGATATATCGAATAACATACATTTTTTTGTCACATTCTTGCCATTTTCAACTATCGTCTTCTAATGTATAAGGTGTACCGGATCAACCGTGTCATCTGTTAATAGCAGGTCATTTGAACATGAAAATCTTTAGCGAAATGTCGAGGCTGAAATGATTTTGAGATGGAAAGTGTTTAAAGTTGACCGAACTGATTGTCAAAAATTCAGGCACGTTGCATACTAATTTTTATATTCTCACCATATCAGAAATCTACTATTAATGGGTCATACGATTAGTCTGCGACACCTTGTATATTTTACATTATTTTTCAATCTATTTTCTTAATATTAAGATAAAACAAATTGGATTGACTTACCGGCACGCAACAGCGGAGTTGATCTGCAACATACAAAAAGTACATCCAGATTATAGCAACAAACAAATATTAAAATAATTATTTGAGAAATCAGAAAACTCGTCAGAGTCTTGCGCCAAGTTAAACTTTTACTCATTCCTCTCTTTCTCTCTTTTTTATGCAAATATTTCAAAGTCTCCATGTGCATTACGTTACATAATATTTTGCAAGCAATATTTTGTAAATAACAGATAACAAATAAATGATTACTTACTCTAAAGCTGCTCCGCTGGCGCCCTCCTTCTCCTTTCAGTCTTTCAAGGCACTCACATGCGTTTGCACGAATACAAAAATTGCCTGATATTTTAAACCATGCTCTCGACTTTGTATTTTGTCATTCTCGACAAACTCGAATATCACACGGATTACACGTGTGACATCGCATCTGTAACAATGCAAGGCTGAATTCCTGGCCTCTCCGCCACCATCACGATCAAAGAGGCGAGAAAAGAAGCCGGCCGTCGCGTGCACAATCACGCACACGGCACCTCAGAAAAGAAGGCCGGCTACGAAAAAGATAAGAAACTGCAGAAAATAATAAGGATAATATTATTAAAGAGGAAAACGTGTCGATACGAAACGATTTGCCTTGTACGCAATGCCACCGTGTGAATCAAAATTGGAATCAACGCGACTTTATCCTTGATATTTTATTACACCCTTGTTATGCATCCTTCGCACACGGCAGAGCGTATTAGCGCGTTATCTTCTTCAACAATATTATCCTTATTACTTTCCGTAGTGTTCGATCACACTCTTTTCGTCGTTGCTGTAATCCATGCGATGATATTCTAGTTTTACTTTATCCAAATAACAGTGCGCGTCGGAAGTAAAAGATTTAAAATTGCGTGATTTTTGTATTTGCGTCGCAAACGCATGTGAGTGTCTTGAAAGGAGGAGGAAAGACTCGGGAAAAATATCGGAGAACTTTAGAATAAGTAATCATTTATTTGTTATCTCTTATTGCAAAATGTTATGTATAATGCAATGCACATAGAAACTTTCAGAAATATTCAGTGGAAGATTCACAATTTTTAACATGTATGACTATTAAATATAAGTATACAATTCTTTTATTAGATATTGCATAAAAGATGAGTGGAAGTTTAATAATTATTCCTGCGTAAAATAATTACCAACATGAAAAGTAACTGATATATTATTCAAGATGCAAATTCAAAATAAATTTAATAATTATTCCTGCGTAAAATAATTATTTCTCAAATAATTATTTTAAACGCTATAATTTGGATGTGCTTTGCATATTACAGATCAACTTGTGTACAAACTCCGCTGCTACGCATCGTGCCGGTAAATCAATCCAATTTGTTTTGTTTTAAGATCATTAAGAGAATAGATGTGATAATAATGTAAATGTACAAAGTGTCACAGATTAATCGTATCATCCGTTAATAGCAAATTTCTCAATTGTCTCATATAATAAGGATATGAGAATTGATGTGACACTTTTTTTTTTAATTTCAAACATTTTGTAGCTTCGACATTTTGCTATGAAAATTTTCGTCTCCAACTGACCTTAGAAATCTGCTACGGATGATACGATTGGAACACCTTGTATTGTTCTAGAAAATTGTAATAACATTTTAATATATCGTTCGATAGAAAAAAGAAATAATATTGCTACGTAAGATGTTTTGTAATTACAATTTCGTTACGTCGCATGTTAAATAAAAGAAACATTTAAGATTATATATATTCTCTAATTTACTCATAATAAATTGCAATAAAAAATTTAAGAGAATGATCAAACAAACAGAAACGTCGTCTTGCTCGAAGTATCGAGATTTTTCAAAAATTTTATATATATAAATTATAAATACTCATTATTTTGACTTTTCGCAATTCGTTGAAAGCATTTTGTATTTTTAGCCGAAACTGTAATCGAAGAAACGATTTTCGAAGTGAGACGACGATTATAATATTTTGATCTCACGTGACTTTGACGAGAAATAAAGCAGCTGCGATGCTTTGGCGCTGCAGACGAGAATCTCACGCATAATAACGTTCACCGGTTGCCTATCCCTTAGTTTTTTGTCAGTTTTTCTGCTACCGGCATCAGTGTTCTCTGGTCAAAAAATTGTCCATCCCGCGACCCCCTTCCCAAGTGTTTCTCAGGCTCCTTCTGTAAATTTGCATATTTCAAGCCAAGGAATTATGTTCCTTCGTTAAGCACGTTCTGTGCACTTTTTTCTCACTTTGTTTCACACGATACAGAGATGTATTATTCTAAGGGTTTGCATTATATTGCGCAAAGCGTTAAACGTAACGCATTTTTTCCAGATACAACGCTGTACACGAAAATATTCGCACTCTTTTAAGCATCGATTTCAAGCGATTGACATAATTTTGAAACAGATATCAGATGACAAAAATTAAAGCGGGGTATTCTATAAATATTGCGTGCTATGTTAATAATTTTTATTTTTTTTTACATTTTTTAATATTATGCTGGACTCCATTCTGTTTATCAGACCTACGAACAAAAATAACACAATTTTTCTGTTTTTATTTTATTGTCTATTTTATCTCCGACTAAATAAAAAGAAAACTCGATATTTGAAGCAATTAAAATAATTAAGATCGCAGAGATTAACATATAACATTTATAGTATTTCTATTTCCGATGTATTTTTTTTTATTTTTTAAATTTTTTTTGCAAAATTATTCCCTTTGGAAACTATACTAGCAATAAAGTATTCTATGTAGCGAGAAGAAATGCAATTATCCAGTAATATACCGTGTGTAACCGGTGCATCTATTTTGTAATGTTCATGCGATCGACGGTTTTACGAAGCGTCCGATCGCTTTTGCTCTATGCAAATCGCGAGTGTGCGAGCGAGTGAGCGAACGAACGAGCGTCGCGGCGCCTTTGGTTTCTCCCGGCGCTCTCTCACCCTTTCACGGATTACGGAGCTGTCGCAAAAAACGTCCGCCTCGCAGTAACGGTCTGCCGGCAAAACCTCCCTTTCCGCCTTGCTTTTTCTACGTGCGAAAATAAAAGTCTCTCGCGCTTTTCCTACCGGTCCGGAGAAAGGGGCTGTGGGAGTGGGAGGGTGAGACGGGAGGGCAAAGGGGGAAAAAGCGCAGTCGGGCTGAGCGGGGTGAAGGAGGGAGAGGGCAAAATAAGAGAGATAGGAGCACGAGGTGGGCTCGGGGGTGGCGGCAAAAAGAATCGTAGCGATGTCGGCGAAGGAGGAAAAAGAGCAGTCCGCGGTAGTGAGAAGCGATGAAGGGGGTGGCGAAAAGAAAGACTCGGAAAGAGAAAGAGGAAAACGTTTGAGAAGAAACTGTGATTCTAAAACGTGATTTCGTCAAACTTTCATTATCATCGCTGATGCGATTAAGCGTCGCGTGGCTGATAACAAGCAGTTTTTGCACGCAGAACGTTCGAGAATTATCGGCAAAAAATTCACAAAAATATTTGCCGACCCGATTGAATTAGTGATTCGATTTTTTTTCCACATAAAGTGTCAAGATGCTGACGATGTTTGAGCGGGAAGCGATCGAGAATAACAAGTTTTTCTGCGAGCTGCGCCGCGGAATTGTTTAACTTTGCGCAGCCCCCTTCGCAGTGAGGAAATTTTCATTCGAGCCTCAATCATGTTACAGAAAATTAGTTTTAATTATTATACCAATCCTCCGCCTTACAAACGCAACGCGTTTGCAGACATATCGATGAGATATTTCCGCCTGTGCTCCACAATCATTTTCACGGTTCTCAACCCTTTTGTCATCGCCCCAAAGAGGTTAGCTAGATAAACATTTTCCATCGCGGTTTTCCTCGTCCCCCGTCCTTTAACGAATCCAAATGCCAGAATGTGCGTGTAGAGGGGATAGGGAGGTGGGGGGACGAAGAACTCCGAGTAGGATGAGAATTTTACAGGGTACCGCGATACCGGGGGGTTCGGGTGCCACCCTGCAAAAATGTCGATTCCTCGGCGCTGATAGAGGGGTTGAAAAGGCGCGCATCCACACGCAGGGTTGCACGATGCAGCGGCTAAGAGAGATAGAGAGAGAGGGAAGACGCCATCGGGAGGGAAAGGGGCACGAGGGAAGATGGTTTTTTCGACGCGCCCTTCCCGTCGCCGCAGCTCCCTCTCGCTCCCCTCAGCCGTCCCGGCAAGGGCGGCGTGAGGCAGGGGCGCGTTTTTACGCGGCCACGGCGAGGGCCAGGGAGGAGCTTATGTACACCGCAACGACATCGGTAAGACGAGCGGAAGCGGCGAAGGAGGGGGAGGGGGGGGAAGGGGAGTAGCAAGGGGGACGACCATGATTTTCGCGTATCGCTCCTCCGAAGCCCCCCCGAGTCTGCACGGAACGCGATCATACCGGCCGATCCGCGAGGCCACGCCTCTCATCGTTCTCCGATGGCTCATCGCGTACCCCAGCTGAATTTTAACCCTTCGGCGGAGGACACAAGCTGTTTGGGTCCGCGATACCAATTATTCATCGCGGACAAAAGTAGAGATTGCTTTCTGCGTTTTTGGGACACATCGTGCGCGCGAGGCATTATTTCGAAGTGTACTTATGCAATGATAATATGCAGACGCGTGTAGCAAAGTGGCATCATGTTTTTTATTGATGAAAATTTTGTTTCTATGTAAAAATTGAGTGAAAATTTGCTTATCTAAATTTTAATCAAAACTTTCGAGAATTCGCTATGCTCTTCAGAGGAGTGAAAAAATTAAACGATGTAATAATTGATATAAAATTTGTAATTAATTTACACGGTGTTGTGCTGAAAAAGAGCTAAACATCATGGTTGAGAGTTTTCTATCGTTATTCTATTAGCGTTTTAAAATTATAAGTAATAATAGATAAACAAAAGCAACACGTTCTGCTGCTTCGAGTATTGACGCAATTACTCTTGTTTACGATGCTTCGTCTATGATGTACGCGGTGTTCTAGTTTCAGAATTCTTTTTTGAATGTATATTCTTTTCAGATTTTTACAAATTATACGTAAAACACTAAATTTCACTTTCAATTTTTCGTATAAACTATTACATCTTTATTCATATCTCGATAAAGAGAGAGAAATTGTTAAAATACATTCATTAATTAATTATTTATATAGAAAGTTTAAAGCAGTATTATTGCAAGCTTAAATATAAAAAAGTTGTTACCAATTTTTCAAATTTTCTTCACGCGCAACAAAACAAAGATCACAAAACGCCTTTTCTTTACACACTTTTTTATAACTTGGTGTTTTTATTTAAGATTGACTGCTTTTCGATTGACAACGGATCATTGTATTTTTCAGAGCATATCGCAATTAAGAATTAACGAGGATTAAGCACTTCCGATCGTTCCTCGATCGTTTGAAAGGAAAAATCGTGAAACCGCCGCGCATCGCCGATACTTTCGGAGGAAGAACTCGGTGCCGCGCAGCGGCGCTGCTGTTGGTGGGGCGATGCGAAAGATACGGCGTGTGCTCGCCGCGAAGCGCGCAATGTGCACCGCGCTAGCGTTCGAAACGCGTCGGTGTCGCTCGCTCTCTTCCTTCTTTCTCATTTGTACGGTGATAATCCCCCTTTTTTTTCCACACGCCCTCTCAAATCGCGCTCTCGTTTCGCGAGTGCGCTCGCGAAACAACGCCGAACGTCTCTAGCCGCGCGAAAAAAATCGCGCGACTCGCATTCAAAATTTCGTTCCCCTTTGTTTTTTCGAATCGCTTTCGAATTGTCGCACTCTCTCACAGAGGGTGTCACGTCTGTCGCGGGATCACGATTCTCGCGATCGACGCGGCGCGACAAACATCCGCTCGTTCGTTCGTCGATTCAATTTGTGTTTCCGCTTTCCCTCGCGCGTACGCGTTTGACAGCACGGCAATCGCGCGAATGCGTCTCGTTGGATGCTGCCGGCACCGCGCGTGGTCGACCTGGAAGCCCGTGCTCGCCACAGTACTGTGAGCGAGCACCGTCGCCGCTCCAGGTAGCATCGGTGGCCGCGATGGACGCGCGCGTGGTCGTCGGTACGTCGACTGCGGAAGAGACGTCGGTGGCGACGGCGACGCGAAGCGTCGCGACACCCTCGCCAGTGTCCTCGGCGCCGAATACCGCTGTGACCGCCACCGGCAACGGAAGTGGCGGCAGCGGCGGCGGCGGCGGCGGCGGAGTCGTCATCACGACACTCGCGTCCGCATCTTGCACCTCGCAGAATCCTGTTGTTGTCGTAGCGAGCCCCTCCAGCAATCATCAGCAACCAGCCGGTGTGCCGGTCGCCGCCGTGCCTAGAATATTCAGTAGGAACGTTAACGGAACCTGTAAGTTAAAAATAATCTTGCATATTTAACTCGAACGAATCGAAAGAGAGTGAAAAAATGTGAGAAAATTTCTTAATGAGATTGATACATGTGTGATTTAATGCAACACCAATATAACTTTTTAATTGAAACAAAATTCGCTGCATAACAAGCTCTAAAAATGCGATCCTGAGAGAGAATTAATTTTATGGCTGGAAATCATTTCAGAGCTGATTTCCTTGAAAAAGTCTAATTTTCCTATTGCAGCATATTTTATTATTTTAATACAATTAATAAAATAACTCTGGTTGTTTTTGCATTAAAAGTCACACGCATATTTTGATATATTTTAATATACAATTAGTTTGCTCGATAATTTATACAATTCGAGATATTGTAATTAAACGATAAAATGTATTTATAGTCACACTCTTTTATTTTAATCACACTTTTATTGTAAATGCGAAAAAAGATACAACAAAAACATATATATTTTTTTAAAAATTTTTTGACATTTCGCTATACAAGAAAATTTGACGAGCTATCTCGAGTTGTCTCAAGATAATATATTTTATATTAATAGCGACAAATAATAGTAACATAAAAAAAACGATTTAAACATAAGAGTTTTATACACAAAATTTTCAATTCTTAAAACAAAATTTAAATATAAAAACACTTTATCAATCACATTACATCGCTCTGTTTAAACACAAATTGTACAGACAGTTGTTTATTCAAAAATTTATCTTCTATAAATTATTCAAAATTACATTTCAGTATCTCGCATATCTATCTTATCTTTCATTCATGTCTTCTTTATTAGTAAGCGTATTATTCCGTTATCACATTAATTTTAATTCGAATAATACCGTTAATTTTTCATCTAATGGACTCACCGTCGAAATCGTCGTGAGAATAAAATTCCTTCATTAAGAACCTCGATAAATTCACGCGGTCAATAAGTGTCTAACTCATCATGTGTAAGCTAATGCGCGGTAAAAAGTATGCTATCATTCATTTTTTGCGCACTCAATAGAGTAATACTTTAAGGTGTCTCCTACGTTCAATAGTTTGCTCGATAATGTAGAAGAGCCAATTATTTTAACGTGCTTAAAAATCAGCACATCTATTGACAAATATCTATTTTGCGGCGCGTTGTTTTATATATAAGTACCTTTTTTTTACAAGCATTCGCATTGCGAACGGCAAATATGGAACACGTATAACGCATAACGTTTGCATGGATTTACGCTCGATTTAGGCGGCGTTCGATCGATTTCACGCAAACTGATAGGTATGAAATTGCTCGTTAATATCTAATTACGCATCAGCCTACTGCGCATATGTGTGTCGCGAATATAAACATTATTCTCGACAACTGTTTCTTATTCATAATTAAATGATACAGACATAATTTTATTTTAATCTATAACAAATTTGGCTTATACGTGAAAAAGACGAAATTTTGCTAACATTTCAATATGCGCGTGTATTTTTTCATCTATTGCGTCAGTATAATCAATTTTTGTTTACTGACAAGTCGTTTAATCACACTTGGCAAATATTTTTAGCCTTGCGTGACTATTTTTTATTGTTTTCTCACGATTGTTGAACATTTCATAACTCTAATCATTATAATTTTATTATATTGTGGCCTATAATCATTTTACTCTGATTACATCGTCCCAAACCTACTTTATTTTCTTTCTTTACTCTTTCAATTTATTATTTTATTTTGTCGCGAGAAAGTCCTTCTTGGAATACAAGACGCTCGTTGAATTTTTTAAATTTTCAATAACTTTCTGCAGCGCAACGTTATAATTTCGTACATCCAAAGTTGCTTTTAGAAAAAAAAAAAATGAGGATAATTTAGTACTTTCATGCGGATGGACTCGGCGCAAGAAGCGTTTGCTGTTCCATTTATTGAGGAAAGCGAGGGTCACTCGGATTTTGATATAAGGGATTTCGCTATGAGGCCAGTTTATTTCCTCATTTCTTGTAGATCAGACCATTCTATTGCACTCATATATCCGCTCGTTTCTAAACTACGCGCGCGAGTCGCATTTTCGATCACAAACGCTGCGCTCTCTCTCTCTCTCTCTCTCTCTCTCTCTCTCTCTCTCTCTCTCTCTCTCTCCGCCGCGGTCTCGGCGAGTTTACGCAAGAAACGTAATCGCCAGCAGTTACCTCCCGGCGGAGCGAAGAAGTTTCGACCGAGGAGCTACCATGGACCATCGCGCTTTTGTGTGTGTGCGTGTGTCTTTTTCCCTCTCTTTCTCTCTCCCTCATCGAGAAACTGGATGAATCATGCCAGTGACAAAAAGCTCGCAGCTCGCGCCAGAAAAACAAGATTTTTCTTCTTCCATCTCGGCGAAACTGCGGCCGAGCTCGTCTTCGTCTACTTCGCCCGGCATCGTTTTACCGCCCCGCAACTCGGTGCATCGTCGATAAAAAGCCCTCGACCGAGTTCGATATGTCGCTTGTTTCGAAAATTTTCCGCGGAACCGTGGGCTTCTTACGTCGACTATTTTGTCCCCCTTCGTTAATTTTCTCGATTTTCGTTCGCGAGGAATGCCTGTCTTCGGGAATCGACGTGATTTCGCGGAAAACTTTTAATAAGATGCAATCGCTGCCGCTTTACGTTGTAACGCGAGGCGGTATAATCATACCGAATCGGCATAAATTATACCGATGGCGGTATAATTTCGCAGAAGCTATGATTAGAAGTAGCATATCGCGACACGATACCCGACGCGACGCCCCTGACGCGTTTTTGCGGGAAATGTTTACCGTTTCTACTATAGCACCATTAACGGTGACAAAGCGGCGGCAAGCGAAGCAAATAATTAGTAAACAGCAAAAACGTACTCATTAAAAAGATAATATTTTTATCTCGCGAGATATAATGTGTATTTCACTGGGAGTGGCACAGTGTACAACATTTTATCTGCGCGACATATTTTTTCCACCTCCCTGATACATTATTGATGTGATTTGTGAAAGATTTTGCATCCGGCACAGTTTTGACATCGATACTTCACTCACGCTAATGGCATTTCCATATTTTCGCTACATCGATAAGATTGATCGCGCTTGATGAACACTTCGCTCCGCCGTGCGGTTTTGGCATTTTGATTTTTAACGCGCCAACGCACGATGGAGACTTTTGGCATCTTGCTTCGCATTTGCGGTTCAAGCGTTACTGACACTTCGACGGCTTTCGACGAG